AATTAATTTGAAGCTTACAAGTAACGATGGAGCACCTAAGTTTGATGCATCCATATATAGAAGTGTGGTTGGTTCATTAATTTATCTTACAAATACAAGGCCAGATATTGTTCATGCTGTAAGTGTGGTATCTAGATTCATGAGTGATCCAAGTAATCACCATTTTGCTGCAGTAAAAAGAATACTCAGATACATACAAGGAACCAAGGGATATGGTATTAGATATACACAAGAGAAGAAAGCACAGTTAGTTGGCTACACAGACAGTGACTAGGCAGGTGCAATTGATGATAGAAAAAGCACCTCTGGACATTTGTTTTTCTTGGGAAGAAAAGTTATATCATGGTCATCGAAGAAGCAAAGTACAGTGGCATTATCAACAGCCAAAGCAGAGTATATTTCAGCCACAAGTGCAGCATGTGAAGCAGTTTGGATTAGAAGAATATTAGCAGATCTTCGTCAAGAACAAAACACTCCAACAAAATTGTACTGTGATAACATATCCATAATTGCCATGACAAAGAACCCAGTCTTTCATAGCAGGTCAAAGCACATAGAACTTCGTCATCATTTTATCATAAAATTGGTTGAAGACAGAGAGATTGAACTGAAATTCTATGGTACTGATGAGCAGATTGCAGATGTTTTTACAAAAGCACTTCCAAAAGAGAAGTTCTACTATTTCAGAGAAAGACTAAATGTCGCAGGACAAATGTATTAAGAGGGAGTGTTAAACGTAATGCATTTGTATCAATTGTTAAAGTAAAGAGTTGTGTCTCTTTAGAAGTCAAGAGTTGTGTCTGCAACTCTTGGAACTAATCCAAGAGTTATGTCTGTTTATGAAATGGTCTGAGTGCTATTATATATAGCCAATGTTATAGGCTGCTGTATATATCACAGAAGTTAACAAAAAAATCTGTTCGAATAATTCTCTGTTTTACAAACACTATCTGCCTCCGTTTATATTTCCATCATATATACTTCAGTTTTGTGATCATTCTCCTAACATTAAGGTTCTGAAAGAGCAATCCAATAGAACATGAGGTAAGGACTCCTCCCGGGCTCCACACAGCACATAACCACCTAAATCGCCTTGGACCCCCTTACTGAGCAATCGGTCCCTGGTAGGGAGAATATTATGGAGTACCCTCCAAACAAAAACCTTAACCATTGGTGGAACACATACCCGCCAAAGCCGAGACCATGCCTTAGTTGAGACACCGTAGTAGTTGTCACGATTGGATGAGCCTTCCCCAGCCTCCTCAAAAAGGAACTGGCGGGGGACCTTGTAGGCACTATGCACAGTCAAATCACCCTGCTTTTCATAGTGCCACACCAGCCGATCAGCTGGGCTTCTAAAACTAAGTGGGAGGTGAAGAATACAATAGGCCTCTTGAGCACCAAACCAGGCATGAACCAGATCCTCACACCACTTATGCAAGACCAGGTCAATAAGCTCACATACTAAAGCATTTTCATGACCTGCCACAGTTGCTGAAGTTATCTGAAAAGAGTTGGGCTTTGGGATCCAACGATCACCCTACACTTTCACCGACCGACCATCCCCAATCTGCCAGCGGGAACCTCTAGCTAATACAACTCGTGAATCACACAGGCTCCTCCAGATATAAGATGGAGCATGACCTTCAGAAGCTTCCAAAATTGAATAGTCTTTGTGGTATCTTGCTTTCAACACTCTGGCCAGAAGGGAGTGGGGCTGATGATAAATCCTCCAATCTTGCTTGGCTAGCAGAGCCATGTTGAAGGCATAGAGGTTTCGAAAGCCCATTCCACCCTCACGTTTAGGCTTGCATAAGCGATTCCAGCTCATCCAATGGATCTTCCTTTTATCTTCAGTCTCGCCCCACCAATATTTGGCCATGGCTTGCTGAATTTCATCGTAAAGGGAACAAGGTATTTGAAAATAGCTCATTTGGTAAATGGGAACGGCTTGAGCCACCACCTTCAACAGAACTTCCTTGTCTGCGAAACTGAGTAGCTTCTACCACAAGCCTTGAACCTTTTTCCAAACACGTTCCTTAAGTAGGGCAAAATAGAAATTACGAGATCTGCCAATAAAAGTTGGTATGCCCAGGTATTTGTCATGCTTATCCACTCGTTGCACCCCAAGAATTTGGGCCAAGGCTTGTTGCCTGGACATCTCCACATTGCTACTGAAAGAGATGCAACTCTTCTGTAAGTTGATTCTTTGTCTAGAAGCCCGCTCATAGGATTGAAAAATGTAGCTCAGTTGCTGGCACTCATCTGGCGTTGCCCTTGTAAATAAAAAACTGTCATCCACAAAAAGTAAGTGGGATATTGATGAAGCTCCTCGACTAATCGCTATCCCATGGAGGAAGCCCTATTGCTCAGCCTGCACGATTAGACCAGAAAAAACCTCCACACAGAGTAAAAACCAATAGGGAGACAACGGGTCCCCTTGGTAAAGACCTCGTTGCAGGGATATAAAGCCCACAGGGAAGCCATTAACAAGGAAATAGTTAGTTATAGTGGTAACACATGTCAATATAAGTTGAACCCACCGTGGAGCAAAACCCATGTTGTTCATAATGGTTTCAAGAAAACCCCACTCCACCCTATCATAGGCCTTACTCATATCCAATTTCAATGCCTAGAAGCCCAACTTACCATGAGTACGGTTATGCATATGATGAAGCACCTCAAAAGCGACAATCGAGTTATCAAAGATCATACAGCCTAGGACAAAAGCACTTTGATGAACACCAATCACATCATTCAAAATTAATTTTAAGCAGTTTGCCAAAACCTTAGCCCCAATCTTGTAGATCACATTGCACAAACTGATAGGATGAAGTTGGGTCATGTTTGTTGGATCCTTCACTTTCGAAATAAAAGCAACATGCATGAAATTGAGTTTAGGCAAGAGCCTACCAGTCCGTAGAAAATCCAATACTGCCGCTGTCACCTCACAGCCCACAACGTCCCAGTATTTCTGAAAAAAGAAGAGGGACATCCCATCGGGCCCAAGAGCCTTGGAGGGGTGCATCTGGAATAAGGCATGCTTAACTTCATCAGCTGTAAACTCACTCAACAAGGTCTGATTCATTTCCGGGGTCACTCTATTTGCCACTAACGCACTCATAGGCTCAAAGGTGTTACTACCTGCGAATTGGAATAAGGACTGAAAGTAGTTAACCACATTATCTACCAGGCCACTCTCAGAGTCTTGCCAATGACCATCACTGTCATAAAGCCCAAGGATTGCATTCTTTCTACGTCGGGATGAAGCTTTTTGGTGAAAAAACTTTGAATTACCATCCCCACCTTTAAGCCAAATTGCTTGCGAGCGTTGATGTCAGAAAAGCTCATCTTTGACCAGAAGAGAGTCCAGGTGCGCCGTCAGCCGCTTGCGTTCTTCCACCATTTGTGCAGAGCATGGATGATCCAATAACAGCCCCAACTGTGCTATAATTTTCTGTATCTCAGCTCGGGTGTAGCCAAACTGCTCACGACTCCAAGAAAGAAGTTTCAACTGTGTGGACTTAATTTTCTCAAAAACAATCTCTGGTGCTCCTCTTCCAGTACCATTCAACCATCCTTCAGTAATTGCGTTAGCACAGTCATCATGTTGCGACCAAGCTTCTTCAAACCGGAATAAACGCTTCCTATGGGGCCTATGGTGCCTGATAAGTGTATTATTTCATATATTTTTATACCTTTTATATGTAGG